TGGGGGTCCCCTCCCCGCCCTGGGCAGCGACCTCCCTGCCCTCCTCCACCCAGCGCCGGGCACAGAGCCGGCGGCTGCACCCCCACGGGCCCAAACCTTGCCCGAACTGTGTTCCGTTTCTTCGGGATGCACCTCCCCCTCCAGGAGGCAATAAAATGGAACCGATTGGCACCAGACTGGCACTGCAGTGGCTTTACTTACGGTCTCGCACGCTCCTCTTGCACAGGAGTGGCCTGGGGCCAGGACAGTTTGCTGGGAAAGAGGGTTTGGTCCTGTGGGCCTTTCACTGCCTCTGAAACGGGCCTGTTTGGGGGCTGATTCTGTTTCACAGGGAGCACCTGTGGGTGATTAATAGCAGCGTTCACCGCCCTGCTTTTTAAGTTCCAGATAATTCACCATATTTTTTTGTGATTTGTATTTTATTTTCTTATCTGATAATACCTCCTTTGTCATCCCAGACCTTAATTTCCTAATCTTCTGTTAGATCTTCCAATTTGCTTTTGTCTATACACCTCCCCGCTGCCCCCCGCCCTTTTTTGGTCTGGCTTGCCCCTTGTTTCCGGTTGATTTTGTTACCCTCATCCTACCCTCATGGTCCCGTTCTTCTGCTTTCTAAATATGTTCTTACCCTCCTTTAGATGGGGAGCCAAAGTTCATGCTTTCTTTAAATCAGTATTGTGCCTTACCCATAAATGCTTTTGTTCCACAACCTGTATAGGATTTTAAGGACACAGAGGAGCAAAATGGGGAGAAGAAATGGTGAGAACTATGGCACCAGCCTGCGTGTGTCAAACATCTCTCATGAGGTACAGCACATGCTATTGCCCTTGAGCATTTGGGCAGCAGCTCCCATTGTTCAAACCGAACCCCATGGACTTGCTGCTGAGGTCCCTTGCTGCTGTCTCTTGGAGAACAGTTGTCCTGTGCTTTTAACCCCTTGGCACATTTGGAATACCAAATGGAAAATTTTTATGTCTTGTAACAAAGAAAAAGTTAACCAGCTTCTCTCCAAATCTGGAGACATTTCTAATGACAAATGGATTTTGTTTTATTTTCTCTCACATATTTTGTGAAAAATATTAGTAATGCAGGTGGAATTCCAAAAATAACCAATTCCCAACCGGTAAGGAATTTGCAACCTCCTTGGCTTCATGTGTGGTTGACGGCCTTCTTCCAATGGACAAACTTGGTAATATTACTTTTTTGTATGATCTCCACAGCACCATTCAGCAGCTTCCCTTTACTACGTTAATTTGAGAGTGTTTCTCTCCCTTGTTATTTGATACAGTAGTATACCAGGTCACAGACATAGCTGAGAGAAGCTTGAGCATCTGTTGGAGACATTTTAAATATACAAATAACAGGGCCATATCCTCATCCTACTAAATTAGAATTCCTAGTATTTTTTTCAACTGTTATTTTTTTAAAGCTCCCTAAGTAATTCTCACATAGAGATGAGACTTCTATTATTTCAGAGAACATAGAATAATTTACTAATTTTATTTTTCAAACACCACCAAACAAAGATAATCTACAGCCTGCCTCCCAAGATTCAGCTCCCCTTCCTATCAGGAAATGATCCTTGGGGATCAGTTAAATCCTCAAACGGTATTTAAGCTTAATTCTCCCTGTTCCTCCTTAGTGTGGGGATGACACCTAACACTACCTAACATCTTACTTGTATATTGCTTAGAGTCTAATTTACAAATGATTTCCTCATTTGAGACAGGAAAAAACTGAGTTCATTTCTAAAAAACATTAAAAAATAATCACCTCTTCCAGGATAAATTATTACAATCCTCTCCTACACATCCCAC